TCCTTTCAGGCTTTAAAAGAGAACACATTTCAGGGTGGCTTAAACAGTCAGTCATCCCCCATATCAGTATGGAAAGGGATCAGTTGCCTCTTGCTCTAGCTGGGGATGCTTCCCAATTATTGACAGGTACAGCAAATCCTTTCTGCCCCAGAGGAGGACAGGTCTACCCGACCCGAGCTAATCATCAGGACACATTTACCCCAATTCCTAACTTAGATCACTTTATAGCACAGTATTATCCTTTTTTTCCCTCAGGTGCCTGTATACAATGCTTCATCCTTTCAGCATCTGTCTCACAATCACATTCTCAAGGCTTCACACTTAGATACATCATTGTACCCACATTCAGGATGAAAATCCCAACTCCTGGTTTCTCCCTGTTACCATCCTCTACCATTTCAAAGTTCAAATACCTTGCACCATTCCCTGATCCAGCCATGTAATGCTCTTTCTCTCTCTCTTTCCTTATCTCCTGCAAACTGTCTCTCACAACTGGATTTTCCAGCCATCATGGGATCTTCATCTCACCTATCCTTGTCTGTGAGTTTCTCAAAGCAAAGAATTTGCTTCCTTTGCTGAAGGTTTTGCCTTAAGTCTTTTTAAAGGTTTTTCAAAAGAAATTATAATAACTTACAGAGACATAAACATTTCTGACTCCGGGTAAATGAAGATTGATTAAATTGCTTTTTCAGTTAAAATCTGCCTGCCTTTTGCACCACAAAGCAAAGCACCACATCAGCCTTACTCCACTAAGACAGGGAAGCCAATGCTTGAATGCTGATCTCAAAAGGCAACAAGCCACGTCCACCCCTGGAGTAAAGTTTAGGGCCCTTCTGGCCTGAGGAAACACTTGGGGAGATGGAGAAGGGCCAGAGCAGGGAGAAGTATCAACCTCCTGGGCTGGGGGCTCAGCCCATGGCAGACCTTTTGAGATGCTTTTTGCAACAAAATCAGTGACAGCTTGAGCCACAGTTGCTACCTTGAGCTACTCAAGGAACAAGTTTTTTTATATGTTTTTAAAAGTCCCAATTTTATGAACATCTCTCTCTCTATATATATATATATATTTAAAATAATTTTCTGACAGAAAGAATAAACACCCTGGATAATCATCTCTGATGAGCACTTCTGTAACTTTCTTAACTGCCTGAGTCTGCAAAACAGGGCTGGAAGGGATCTTGCCTGTGAAAACTCTGATATTCTCCACTTTTGATCACAGTGGAAATAATCTAAGAGCAGATTTTTAAAGGAGAAATACATCTTTTCTTCTTCTGGGTGTCAAAAGGCCACAAGCTAATGAAAAAGAATGAGAAAGATACCATTAATATCTACTGTTTCTGCAACACTTTCCATCCCAGCATCTCAAAGCAAGGGGTGACGGATGGCCACTATTAACCCCACTTTGCAGGGGAAATAACAAAGTCTCAGCAAGGTTAAGTAACTTGCCCAAAGCTACCCAGCAAGTCAGTGGTAAGACACAGGGGGAAAAAAATAAAGCCCTGCACTCATGGGTGGAGTTGTGAAGAGTTTGTCCAAGCTCCCGCAATACAGCAAGAAGGAAGAGACTGCCAGGGTGGTCCAGCTTGCAGTTTGGGGTCAGGACAGTCTCATGGAGGAGCCAGGCAACTGCTTCAGACCTTGGCATCTTCATTGTAAATGGCTACAGGCAGGTGAAACAAATGCCACCCTCACTGTTTTTAGTTGCATTTATTTGCCTGTCCCTAGCAATGGGGCAGAGGTGTTTTACAGGGAACAGGCTGTTGAAGCAGAAGTGGTAAATCATGTAGGCTCTGTGGTTTTTCTGTCCATAAACCTTTCCTCTGGTTTCTGGCTAATGCCCCACAGATTTTGGACTAAGCTAGTGGGTCTTAACTGGGTTTCAAGGTGAAATGCCTCTGATGCAATGCAAGCTGCACCCTTTCCTTCTGCAGGAGTTCTGAGGTGCACCTTGGAACCATCTTGGACTCCCTGTCAGCAGATCCCTGGCCACATTTACTGGTGAATCCAATCCCTGTCCTGTGCTATCCTCACAAATTGAGACAGTCAGATTTGGAACCCATTTAATTCATTCTACCTTGCCTGGTTTTCCTCAGCAGCATTTTACTCCGGCTGCTTCGCTAAATAAAGTTCCTTTTCATTCATGGTAATGCACTAAAGCACTTGATTTTCAGCAAGGAATGGTGTCACCATTTTGCCACTAATAAAGAAGAAAAAAAAACAGCTTTCAATCAATCAGGGTCTATTTAACACATTAGCAATTTTCCTTCATTTTTCTGTCATCCTGCATTAACAGACGCGGGGTCAAATCCCACCCTGGTGTAATTCCAAAGGAGTAACACTAGGAATGAGCTTCACCCATTATCTCTAATGTTGCTAAAAAGGTCTCAATAATAGATTTTTTAAGTTCTTGATTCTGAATACTAATCAAGTCCTTTAAAAAGAGCACTTGAGTGGGATGCTACTAAAACAAATATGCTCTGGTATTTTACACCACATCATTCTGCTCTGCTGCTCATTTCTGGGTGAATATGCGAGCTTTGGGAAGTCACTTTCTGCCACGAGGTTTGATCTCAAGCAGCACATGGATCATCTATCCCTACCTATATTCCCTCCATGCAGCCCAAGAGACAGCCCATAGGACATCCAGCCACACGTAGGTCCCCAGCCAAGGGTCCTCCTTCTGAGACCAGTTTCCACCAGTTCTCCAGAGGCTGGTCCTCCTCACACACCCCATCACAGCTCACCAGCAGCACCCTGTGACCCACACAGCCAGAAACTCCAGCTCAGCAGCTCCGGGCCATCTCCATCCAATGTCCCAGTGGGCACTGAGTACCACCAAGACATCACAGCACAGGAACAAAGTAAATGCATGACCATGTCCTGCCTTTTGCCCCTCAGAGATGTGCTTTGCTCTGCTGCAGAGATGTGTCGGCCACAGCCAGCGCTTCACACGGGATCTCTTGGTGGGGCTGCACCACCACCTCATCCTCTCCTTTCTAGCACCAAGTTTCCCTTTTACTCCCCTCTTTCCCTTCTGCTTCGGGCTGAGGGTACAGGAGAGCAGTGTGGTTGCCCAGGAGCCTGTCTGGCCACATGCCCCCCAGCAGTCAGTCCCTGTCATCACCCTGAGGGTAAACAGGGGGGCACCAAGAGCCATTTTGAGCCAGGGAGGGATCAAACCACGCTTGAATGTGCTGGTGACTCACCATCACACCAGAGTCCCCAAGGTGAGAGTCACCATGTGACTCAAAGCATAGGTGCAGCCACCCTTCCCCACGGGGCCCTGCCTGGGCACCCTGGAACACAAATCAAACAAAGCCCTGACCCCCACAGCCAGCACAGTCCCAGGAGATGAGTTCTCCCAGGGGTTATCCTGGTTGGCTGGTGAGTGCAAAACATCACCACCACAACTGAGAGCTGAGTTTTGCTTTGAGTTAGGGATTATCTCAGGAACGCACACGGCAAGTTCTGCCTAATTTTCAGGGGCAACTCCGAAAGCAACGGAGCTTTGCCTTGTGTGGGCATCTAAATATCACTACTGCTGGCAGCTGCTGCTGAGACAGAGAGGGGTTAGAGCTCTGTTTTCAGAAAGCAGTGACTTTGGTGGGTTTCCAGGCCTCCCTGAGGGAGATCAGGCATATGTGGATGTCTCAGATTGATGCTGCTTGGGGCACTGATGACATTCACATGGGCCAGGGGCCACTTCCATGGCTTTTCTTGTATTCCTGGCTGTACACTAGTTCAGCCCAGCTCACTCTTTCCCCACCTTTTCCACTTGAAAAAGCTATTTCAAACCTGGGATACTACTAGTGTTGCCTGGAATAATCTGACCTCCAGAATCCCCAAAATGAACAAGAGGAACAAGCATGTCACATGTAGCTATTTTACCATCTGCATTCCCCCCAGTTTGTAACTGTGAAAACCCCAGGAGGATCTTGGGGGACAGGCTCTTGCCCCACAAAACATCACTAAGCTCTTAGATGCCTCTTCAATCAGAAGAGAAATATGAAGAATGAGATGAGCAAGAGGAGCTCTTTCTTAGGCAGCTCAGGCCCTGCTCCTTCCACCCTCTGAAGGGCCACCCAGCAGGATTAATACAGCAAACCCCAATCAGTTCATGTGATCAGGTAGTCTCCAGCTAGCAAGGAATTATATTCCCAGGAGATGCTCCCATAGCTGTTTAGCACTTTGAGGAATTTTAAGTACCTAAACATGAATTTATTTGCTGGGAATTTTTACAGTCTAACAACACCCAGAACTGTGCTAACACATCAGGATATACTTTCAGGATATATTTTCCTGACCAGGGAAAAAACCTGCATGCTAAATTACACCCACAGCACATCCCAGGCTCATCACTACCACAACCCTGTCTCTCCACGGACAAAACCCACGTGTCCCCGAGCATGCCCAGCCAGTAGGGTCACACCACATGTGGCCCCACACCCCCCTCTCCCCACCTGGGTGCAGTCCGTCCCACCCAGGGGGGAGAAGTCAGGAGCAGAGGGCAGGGAGGGGGTTAAATCCCGGCGGTTCTCCAGCACAGCACAGCGAGGAAGCTCAAGAGACTGCCGTTCCTCTCCTCGCCCTAGCTGAAAGTTGCGAGTTACAAAGTTATGCTCTCACTCCCAAAACCTGATGGTTATGGTTTGGTGGGGAAAGAGGGAAGGCAGCGTAAGTAATCAACATTTTTTTTTCAGCATCACCAGGCAGGAGTTCATCGCAAAGCACAAGCTAATATACACATCTAGTCAAACAGCAACCCTGTATTTTGTTTCAGGTCTGTTGAGTATTGCAGGGAAGAATACGAAAGATTGTGTTATTCTGCAGGAGCAGTTTCCTCGGGAAAGTACACCCAGACATTTAATCCCAGGAATATTTATAGTTAGCATAACTCAAATGGTGTTGTGCATGCAGTTGGTTAGTCTAAAGTGGAGCGTCATGCAGCTTGCATTAATGCTGGCAAAGGCACTTTATGGAGAAACAGACTTTATGCTTACAATTATCCCAGCCCAATATGGAGTGTCTCTGACTAGCAGAGAAGAGCTGATGCCTGCCATAAGGAAGCCCAGCACTGTTACAGAGGTGCCTAGTGCCAACTGCAACAAAGCAAACAGCAGCGGGAAACGGCAGCCACAACAAGTGTGGGATTCCTCCTCCTGGCCAGCTTTGGGATCCCCCTTGGCTTTCTTCTGCTTCTTCTTCTTCATCGCCGGCTCCTGCGTCTTGCTCGAGTCGGTGCTTTTCTCCCCTTCGGCTGCCTTCCCTGTCTGGTTACTCGGGGACGTGCCGTGCTGGGCTTTCTTCTCCTGCTTTCCCATGCCGAGGATCTTTAGGATCTCACGTGCGTGTGTGTGTGTTCGCGAGCGCGCCGATGGGGGGGTGATTTTTTTTTTTTTTTGCCCCCCAAAGCTCCGCTTTGTGCTGGCTGAGTTGTTCCTGGTATTTGAATCAAGGAGGCTGAACAAATATGGAAAACATTTGGAGCAGATTGTCATAGCTTCGAAATGCCACATATAGCCCAGAGAAGAGGGGGATTTGAGGGGGGTAGCGCACTGCCAACGTGCAGGCGCCGGGCTGGCTGTGCACACAGGGATAAGGATGAGAAGTGCCACGGCTACACAGGTGTGAGCGCTTGTGTGTGTGTGTGTGTGTGTGTGTGTGTGTGTGTGTGTGTGTGTGTGTGTGGAGGAGCTGGCCAGGCAAACAGCAGGCAGAAATTCCGCAGTGCCAGCTGATGAATAGGAGGGAAATCTGTCTCGCCAGGGAGCCGGGAGCAATCCAGTGCCCGTGCAGGGAGAAGGCAGGTAGGAGCTCATCACGCCATGGCTCCCCTAGGGATTGCTGGCAGGCAGAGCGTAACGGGGAGAGCCCACGCAGCACCGTGCACGTTCCGTGCACCCGCTGAATCAGATTAAATAGGTGCACCCCAGTGGGAGGGAGCTGACTGCCTTTGTGGAAGGTATGGAATTAACACAAATAAAAATTCAAATGAACGTCCTGGGGAGCCAAAAGGAATCCTGTGTCTTCCCAAAAGTTGCAAAAGCACTGCTAGACTTTTTTTATGATGAGGCAGACAGGGAGCGGCAGTGGGGAGTGGTGCTTCTGGGCAGGTAGTGGTGGAGTTTGGAGCTGAACATCCACTGAGCACTTTCCCAGGGCTGCAAGTTATCCATAACAGGGAGATTGTTTATGTTAGCTAAAAGATAGAGGGATGTCTTACTGTGGACATGTGGTCACTGCACTTTGTCCATATGTTGGCTTATGCTGCTGTTTGGGGACAGCACACCAACAGAACTCTTTTCTGTGGTGACCAGGGACAGAACACGAGGGAATGGCCTGAGGTTGTGTCAGGGGAGGTTTAGGTTGGATATTGGGAAAAGGTTCTTACCCCAGAGGGTGGTTGGGCACTGAACAGGCTCTCCAGGGCAGTGGTCACAGCACCAAGGCTGACAGAGCTCAAGGAGTGTTTGGATGATACTCCTGGGCACATGGTGTGACTCTTGAAGGTGGTCCTATGCAGGGCCAGGAGTTGGACTCGATGATCTTTGTGGGTCCCTTCCAACTCAGCATATTCTCTGATTCTGTGACCTGAAGAAGTGGTGGGGTTTTTTTCCTGAAATACTCAAAAATCGTTCTAGAGCTGAATCCAGGACTGGGAGCCCTGGCAGAGCCTCTCAGATGCTGGTGGGGCTCCCTAGGGGCTCACCCATGGAGGTGCCAGCAGGACTGGAGTCTGCAGTGCTGTACATGGAACTCTGGGTCTCTGAGAGGAGAGAGAAAGAAGAGGTGAGGGCTGAGCAGCCCCGTGCCGGGGCTGTGCCGGCAGGCCTGTGTTCGTGTTCAGCCGGGCCACGGTGTGTGAGCCCACACAGGGGAAGCCCGTGGGAAGCAGGAGGCTGCCGTGGTGCGTCCGCTGAGCTCACACCACAGGAATTACTCAAAAGCTTAGGGGTAAACAGGTGCTTAAATGCTCTGCTGGCCCAGGGCCGAGTGTGTACAGCCTGATGCATTGCCCTGCTCGGAGCCAGGAGCAGCGTAGGGGCCAGCAGAGCCCTGGAACTCCTCCTCCGTGCCAGCTCCATGTCCCCACTGTCACAGGGCTTGTGCTGCTGCCTCACCAACACCAATGTGAGCACTAAAAATGGACCAGCCAGCTCTGTCCCCACCATTTGGCTGTTTGGGTTGGGTTTTTTTCCTTCCCATAGAAGTAGATGGCATTGGGAGAAGTGGGGCAGGTGGGAAGAAACGTCAGAGGTTGGGGAAATTACTACCAAAGCTGCCTTTGAATGCTGCAGGGTGGTTCAGCTGGGATCAACCAAAATGTTGAAGTACTCAGAGAGGTTCTTACACACGCTGAGGAAATCTTTCCTCTGACATACTGGCAATGCCTTCTGAGAAACTGCTCTATTTCCAGCTCTTTATGGCATTTAACAGCAATGAACTGTGTCTTCTGTATTAATAAATTATGATGTCACTTTGTTTTATGGGTTAAGCAATATCCTCGTTGGTTATTTATAATAGCAAATGGATGAAAGAAAACTAGAAACAAAGCGGTTTCAGATGATTTCTGCACACATAACTGTCGTGATACATCCATAGAGCAAGATTAAGATGTATTGTTCAAAAAAGGAAGAGGAAAAGAAACAAGAGGTGAAAAAAAATTGAAGAAAACCCTTCTTCTCTAGTCATGTTGCCTAGTGTACCATGTTTTCACAGTTTCTCACCAAGATGTTTTGTCACTATCATCCACTTTTTAAAATATCCTTACAATATCTTGCTCTCACTAGTCTATCTTGTCTCTCAAAGCCACATACAACTGTATTTAACCACAGCTTTGAGAGGAATGTGGTGTTCAAGGATCATCACCAAAGTCAGACAAGGAAGCAGGGACAAAGCTAAGAACATGTTTTACTGATGGCCAGCTGAACATCTACCTTAATCATAAGTATTAGAGTTAAATGAAGTTAAATTTTCTTTCCCTTTATACACATCCATTTCCCTAGTTCTATCCCACAGATCTTTATTGTGGTTTTTCCCCCAGGAAAATCCCTGGTTTAGTACCTGGATTTGTGCTGGCAGCTAGATTTATGACTGCCCTCTTCTAAAAGGGGCCAAAATCCAACTGCTTTATTCATGCCAACAGTCACGCTGGTTTCAGTGGGAGTAAGTGCCTGAGGAGGATGAACAGGATTTAACCCAAAGTCAATAAAATGAACAAACACTCTCCTTACAGCCAATAACAGCCCTTGTTTATCTCTTGACCCAAGAACGCCTCTTAAAACAGGTGCCCAAACAACTTTCTGCACAGCAAGTATCTCAAAAATGAGGCCATGGTCCATGGGCAGCCAGCTGGATATCTCCTACAGGGTGTAGGTGGGAAATCCATCAGCTCCCTGCAGCCCCTTGAAAAACTCCAGTTGCATGGCTGGTGCCCAGAGTCCTTAGGGCGGGATAAGCCTGGGTCAGTTCAGGGGACAACTTCTGTGCAGTGAGGGAAAGGTTTGGGTACGAAACTATGAAACGTGATCAATGTAGACCAGAGTTTGCCTTCTCACAGCTGTAGGGTCCAGAGGAGCTGTACCACTTGGTTTTTCCAAGGAAACCAAAGACACTAGTTGCCATCTGCCTTGGTTACACTGGGACAGGCAGCCAGTCCTAAGCTCCCTGCATACTTAAAATCATACATGCCATTTCTAATCTCTGCAGCAATACACAGTTATTAGGGGTCAAATACATTGAAAAAATTGGGGACAGGGATGTTGTTGATTTTAAATGATTAAACAGTGTGTGCTGTGGCTGGCTTTCCTTGCAAGTCAAACATGCCTATCTTACATGCTGGAAAGTTTAATGGGCATGGGGAAAGGAGAGGGACGCAGGATTGATCTTCCATAATTATTATCTGAACCAGATTGTATTTGCTGATTCCACTTGGCATTAACAATTGAGTGTAAAGCAGCTGTGAAGGAACTCACAGCATTGGCGAGCAATGACAAATTAAAAGAATTACTTTTTTAGAAATTGAAAGATAACACAAGGACACCGAAATAACACTACATTTTCTCGAGTAATACATCTTCCAGATGTCACTTGGATTTTCCCAGCATCACAAGAATAATCATTACCCTTTTATGCCCAAAGGCCCTGATTAAGTATGTTCTTAAATGAGGCACATGCTTGAATACCCTTCCTGGATGAGACTGTTTTTTGATTCGAGCCCAGCTACCATCTCTTATGTGGCACGCAGTTGTAATTTCATGTCCTTTACACAAAATGAGTCATGTTCCACAGCTTTTCCATGGCCAGATACTGTCCTCTGTAAAACATTGCCTGCTCTTGTTCCTCCTTTTGCCAAAAGGCAGCACAAACCGGGTGACGATGACAGCAAGTCAAACAAGCACACGCAGCATCCGACATGGAAACGGCAAGGTCTGGGCTGCAGCTTTGCAGTGACACAGTCTTTCCTACAGCTTCTCCTACGGCTGAGGACACACAGCACTGCATGGGACTCCAGAAACCTTGGATTTTTCCCCTCTGCCATTTTTTTGCACTGGAAATAAAGCGGGTTTGGCGTGGCTGGACGCGTGGAGACGCACAGGCGCGTGCTCCCACATAATCGTGTTTGCACAGATATTTCTTCAAGGCATCAGCAACCTGGCCAAGTGCCAAGCGCAGGGTTGCAGCACGCAAATCCAGAGCAGCAGAATTAGCAAGGAACAAAGGCTTGGACGGGGCTCTCCATGTTGCCCCAAGGACTGTGGGATGTTCGGCTCCCTTCACCCCAGAAGCATCTCCACAAAAGGCTGCTGACTCAGGGACCCCCTCGGAGATGCCGCCTGCAGCTCTGCAGCTGGAGTTGGGAGGGAGCCAAATGTGCCGCAGCTGGCCTAAGGATCACCATGGAGGAGCTGAGATCCTGCCTCATCCTTGCTTCTTTTCTCCCTGATCCCCTCTCCCCACATGCAGAGCCCGACCAAGGACCGTCAAGTAGCCAAAGCTCAGCACAAGGACTGGGCGATCTGTTTAGTAACAGGGACTTCCCTATTAAAGTTAAATGATGAAAGGTTCTCCCTGAAAGCAGAGGATTGAAGTCAAGCTGTGTTTTCTAAAAACTCATGCCCTTTGACAATGGATATTAACAATACATAACTCTTGAAAGCGCAATTGCAAAAAAGACAAGGCCAGTTAGAAATGGGTCCAACACATGCAATCCAGGCTGGCTTCTGCCATGGCCATTCTTAAGGTTCAGGTCATCTGGAGGTGAGGCTTGTTTTTAACAGGCTCTTTTGAGGCCAGGTCATGTCATTTTGTCTGTCTGTAGGCTCTGCTCTGAGCGCTGGGTTGGTCCAGATGACCTCCAGAGGAACCATCCAACCACAGTATTCTTTATGTGTGCTTCATGTGCCCTTTAAGCACTACTAGGGATAAGGCCCAGGTATGAAGCACTTAATTTTACCTA